ACTTTCGGCTAAATACGCCGCTGCTCTACCACTTGACCTACCGTGACTTCGATCTCCCATGCAACATACTTCTCATTTCTACTCGAATTTTTTCAAAATGAAAAAATTGTGTTTAATCAATTGAGTAATTATATAATTAAGAGTAAGTTGATAAAATTAATTCAAAAGTTAGTTTTAATTTTAAATGAGAAAATATTTTATTAATGTGTAGAGATTAGTGATCGTTAATCGATATCTGAATAACTGTTTTATTAATGTTAACTTTAGCATTAAATTGCTTTTATAGTCCTCAGGAAGTCCGAAAGGCTTTAGAATGTGTTATAAATGCGGTCCAGAAGCTTAGGAGAAGAGCCTCCGTGGACCCTTTAAAAAATCTAATAAATAAGATAAGAGTTAACAGGGATAACAGTGTTGGCATGAGTTCACGGTCAAATAGGGATAGCCGGGAATGAAGCAGAAGACAGGATGGACTAAGAAGAAGCCGGAAGACCGCCACGACGTTTCCCATCGTTTACGTCCAGCGGATTTAAAACTGTTAATTTAAAATATACTAAAAGGAGAATGGAAAAACTGGCGAACTCGTAAGAATATAAATAAAACTGCCGAACTGTGCCAGATTAAGATGACGGTCTCTGGTCCACGCAGAACTGGTCGAAAAGGGTTTTCACATACGGACAAGACTGCGCATAGGCCATATAAGAATAACTCACGGGCACCTTCTGACCGGAAAGTGACCGCGTAGGTGCCCATTGTGTAAGGAGAAAAAACAATCGAGAACATTTTCAATTGCGTACGGCTCGTTTGTGGCAATATTTTAGTATATCGTCTTGAGCGTAATCTTGGGGAAAGGCGGCGATCACCAGTTCCCTGATCGTGTACCTCAGGGCTTTGGGGACTTGTAAATATAGAAATTTATGGTGTTTAGTGACCGTTGGTTAATGATTATGTGAAGATCATGAGATGCGGTCTGGTGTGGCATACGTTTTAGAATAATGAAAACCATTACCATGGTCGAACCATTACCCTTTTTTCCCATTGTCGGCTCCTTTCACTTCAAAAGAAGGCGACTCCTCATATAAAAATTTCTGTCTATCCCGACTTCCTTCCCACCCCTTCAAAATCCAACATGTATAAACATAAAATATCAATACTATCAAATAAATTAATTTTTTCACATCCTATATGTATTTGTATAGTTTAAACAATTTTTATAAATCTAAGGCCCTGAGGATGATCTCAATAAAGATCGAAACGTTGGTACGATAAAGAAAATGTTTTTCTAAAACCTACAACATTCCAGACCGCATCTCACCATCTCTGAATAACGTACATAGAGTTTGTGTTGTGTCTGTGTTATGGTTATATTAATTTATTGTATTGAATGTAATTTATTAGCGTAAAAGAAAGAGGTTGTTTAACCCCACCCCGAGGAATATCGAGACTCCGGGATGAATGCGTCTGTAGGTAAAAGTAACTTATTAGCGAGAAGGGAATGTGATGCGACCAGATTTCTAAGTTTATATATATGAATATACATAGTATTATTGTTTAGAGTCTATTCTGTAGTTGAAAATCTGAGGTACAAATGAGAGGCTAGCATTTTAGAATATAGACTTAGTTTTCCGTGAAAATATGTGTTTAATATTTTTTAGTCTAGTTTCAAATTTTTACCTTTTTTTGGAGAAAAATTATACAGGGTACCTCAGGCCCGGTTCAACTTCAAAATTTTGAATAAGAAACTTATACACACTGACACATTTTAAAAGATCTTTTACGCGGATATCAAGTTTAAGTTGATCAAAAAATGACAAAGTGATAGCCGAAAGTTTGCAAAAACGCATTTAGTTTGATTCATTGTTAATTCCAATAATTTGCTTCTTCACTTAGGTAAAAATTAATTGACTTTATTGTTTACATTCATGTTTGTCAAACATTTCGGATATGCCCGACTGCTTTATTGATAGTGGTGGCATCGTGCAGTCGTATTGTACTCCCAGAAGTTTCCTGATCGCCCCAGTGTAAACCATAAAACGATTTTACGGATCAGTTGCTGTTTCATAGCCAAGAAACCAGCAACATAGTTTCGAGAAGGAGCTTCATATTTATTCTATATTCGCGAAAATTCGAATTCCTCTCTCCGGACTTACAAATTTAAGCCGTATCGCTTTCATCTTCCAGGGTCTTCGGGACTCTGATTGTGACAACGTTCATTGCACAAAAGTCGATTTGAGAAGCCTGAGAAAACGTTCTTCCACACATCCTAGAGTGTCTTATGGCTTACTAAACCGTTGGAATTTTCGAACGTGGGAATAGGAAAATCCGAGAATTTCGTACTTTTGTCATTTATACGAAAATAAGTTTTGTGCTCAGTTACTCAATATTTTGAGGGAGATTTTACAAACTCTATTATATGATGTTCCTCTGTAACAACGACAAAGAATGATTCTCCAGCTTGATGGATGCCCCGCGCACAATTCTTTGCAGGTGAGACGTTATTTGAATCGTGACTTCCGGGTGGATAGGACCCCACAGCCCGATCTGTTGGTCTCTTCGGTCACCCGATTTAACTCCACTTTACTATTTTCTATGGAGCCATTGAAAAAACACTGGCAATGCCAACCCAGCAACCTCAGTTCAAGCACTGCGGAATAGAAAATCATTCTCAAAGTCAATCCATCTTTCCTGACTATCTCTCTGAGCACCGGTGAAACGAGGTTAAAAAGAGCAAATCTTTACTTCTTTACGCAAGGCAGGCAATTCGAACATGAAATGTGATAAATAAATAGGAAACCAATAATGACTTATTTTCTTCCAGATTTCTACCATAACTTTGTCTTTTTTTTTACCAATCAAAAATCCGACTGCACCATTGCTTTCAGCGTAAAAATTCCTTTAAAATGATGGTTCAGAATCTTTAGGGTCGTACATGAAATTTATAAGTTGAACTGGTGTGGTATCTTGTATAATTGTTCTATAAAAAGGTAAACATTTGAAACTATACTAAATAAATATTAAAAACGTAATATATATCATTATTAAAACCTCACACTTAGCTTTTATAAATGTGACTATAATTGCTAACTTCTGATATTAAACTTATTTTATTTTATTTGTACTGATTAAGTACAACTTGAAAAAATAATAAAAAACCTAAATTTGTTTATATTGACACATTCTTTCTTTAATAAGTCAAATTGTAGTATGATGCTGTTTGTTGGTTGTTTTGCCGGTTCTGTCTGATGATTAAAGACCGTATTTTCTTGTAGGACGAATCCTCAAAGCGTGCAATAAAAACATCGAAATATGCAAAAACGTGAAAAAAATCCTTAAAACCGTGCAAAAAGTGTAATAAAGATAAAAACTCTCATTTAACACAGTAAAAATTTTGTTTACACAATAAAATTAATTATTGCGTTTAAAATTGTTTAAAATTGATTCTTTATTTTATAGTCAATCAATGATGTCCTTTTTTTAAACTCAATATGTACAAATGTACAGTTAAATTTAAATTACAGTAAAATAACTAAATTTAAAAATATACAACTAGATTAAAAAGCTAATATTGTGATTTATATTATAAATTTAAAATATATTTTATTCTTATTTTTCTCACTAAAATTTATTTTTTTGCTTTTGGTTAAAAAAATTTGTTTTTTCTTAAAATCCACGGTTTGTAGTAATTATTATCCAAAGGTTGAAAAATCCCAAGTTCTCCGTGGTTGAAATATTTAATTTAATTTTGTCTATTACATGAATGTTTCGGGCTTACGGCCCATCATCAGCACCTAAACATGGGAAACCTTATGGTACAATTGTCATCGGAAGATGTACACATAAGTAATTTACAATTTTTTAAATAAAAATAAATGTACCAGGACTATGCCATAGATACATATATATTTCCATCCCATTTTGAGGGGGATGTCGTCAAAATGGTTAATAATAACAATAATTTTATTCTAGTCCCCTCATGGGTTAAAAAATGTTTGCCATTGGTCTTCGGTTCCCGGTAGTCCTGTAGTACCAGTACGAACATTAGACAACACTACAAACTTAACAGAGTTTGTTTTTTAAGTGGTTCTGCTTTGCTGCCAAGCCGAAGAAAGATTGAGAAATGAAAAGTATGAAATACGCAAATGATGAAACTTTTTTTTTGCCTTATGATCTTGCATATTAGCCATAGTACGAATTGTTGTGTGTTCAAATTGGGGGTTATCGGGAAAAAAGGGCCAGAGGCGACGGTGGGAATCGAACCCACGACCGCGGCGTGAGAGTCTCTCATGCTAACCACTCGGCTACCGCGGTCCCCCTTTTCTATTACTTTCAATTAATTAGTCTTTCTATGTAAGGTTTTGGTTGGGAAAAAGTCAGTGTCCAGAGGGATTCGAACCCACCGAGAGGATCGAAGTCACGGTAGCTCCAATCCAATCCGATTACACGACATTTGAAAAATGGCAAAAAGGAGGGGACATTCAAAAAGTGGGGTTGAGATGGGAGGTTGGTGTCCGAGTGGATCGAGGTCACGATAGCTCAAGTGGTAGAGCTCCGGCGTATTTAGCCGAAGGTCGTGGGTTCGAATCACGCTCGTGACACTGACTTTTTTATGATGAAACTTAAAAGATTTCTTGGAAGATTTTTGGATTTGAAAGTTGAAAACTTCGACGAAGCGCATTTTATTCTCAATCCGTTTACCAAATACTTTAAACCCATAAAAATGATGTATTTTTACGGGGTTTTTTCTGCAAAACAATAATAAAAGTAAAAAAATTATAATTTCGTGCAGTAAACCATAAAATAAAAAGTAAGTACATGCAAAATAAGAAACGACCTTTTCAAGATACGAATTTAAGTCTTGTTTTTACTGCGATCCGATGAGCAATGAAAAGATGCAATTCCACAGGAATACAGTCTTTAGTGATCATAACATTAGCTAACATTTTTTCCGCTGTTTTTATTTATATATATAACATAATGTATAACACTCCCGTTATAATTTTCAGACAAGAACTAAACATTCGGACTGGAGGGCGGCGAACAACTGCACAGAGGTAAATCTGGAATTGGAGAAAACCTTTTCTGTTGACCCACTGCAAAATGGTTAAAGCAAACATTGTTAACGTACACGCATTATCATTTGCTGTTTCAGATTCGCAGATGGTACAAATTCTGCTTTGACCCGCTTTTTGCAATGTACTGTATTTTGTTATGACAATGTATTTTATTATTATTGTTGCATTATTTTGTTAACGTAATGTGTTCAACAGTGAGTTGATTTATGTAATTTAATACATATGTACTATCATACTTTCTTATATAATATATATTTTAGGTAAATTATTTCGCCTTAAATTTACCCCCTCTCTAGTTCTCAATGCATTTCAACCTAAATGTGTATATATATTTTTTCTATATATAAATTTCTACTTGCTTAATTTAAAAAAATGTAGAAAAACGGTGGTCGTCAAGCCAAATTGATAAAACGCTTCCCACCGGAGATTCCCGGTCGATTAAAATAGAAAAGGTAAAAAGCTTTTAGCCCAAGGGGACAATTTTTAACATTTACACATCTACACCTTCATACATTCAAAGCGACATCTACAAGAAGTGAGTTGTTTTGAAATCGCTTTTACATTTTTAAATCGCTAACAAAAAATTAAATTTTTCACATAATAGCTATAACTTCACTAATTTCGTCGCTTGACCAATCAATATATTACAATCAATTAAGGTTTTTAGTTGAGATAAAAAAGTCAATGGCACGAGCGGGATTCGAACCCACGATCTTCGGCTTGATACGCCGCTGCTCTACCACTTGAGCTATCGTGGTATCGCCGAAAATCCAATCCGATTACACGACATTTGAAAAATGGCAAAAAAGGAGGGAAAACTCAAAAGGTGGTGTTGAGATGGTAAGTTAGCGTCCGAGTGGATCGAGGTCACGATAGCTCAAGTGGTAGAGCAGCGGCGTATCAAGCCGAAGATCGTGGGTTCGAATCTCGCTCGTGCCATTGACTTTTTATCTAAACTGAAAACCTTAATTAATTGGAATTTTCGTTTATCTTTAATCCATTATATTTAGTGGTCTATTGACCAAATTACTTCTTTCAATTAATTAATCTTTTTATGTAAGGTTTTGGTTGAAATGAAAACGTTAGTGTCAGGAGCGGTATTCGAACCCACGACCTTCTGGTCAGTCAATACGCCGCTTATCTAACTACTTGACTTCTATCCACTCGAACACCAACTCCCCATCTCAACTTACAACCTTTCGAATTTTCCCTCTTTTTACCATTTTTCATTTGTCGACGAGAATTAAATTGATTACACGACATTTGAAAAATGGCAAAAAGGAGGGAAAATTCAAAAGGTATGATTGAGATGGGAGGTTGGTGTCCGAGTGGATCGAGGTCACGATAGCTCAAGTGGTAGAGCAGCGGCGTATCTAGCCGAAGATCGAGGGTTCGAATCCCGCTCGTGCCATTGACTTTTTTATCTCAACTAAAAACCTTAATTAATTGTAATATATTAATTGGCCAAGCGGACCACGAAATTAGTGAATTTAAAGGCAAATAATGTTTACTTTAATGAAAAACCTAATTATTGGATTTAACAACGAAACTAGTTTTTTCAAACATTTTGACATAACTGTGCCAATTTTTGATCAATTTAACATTGTTTTCCGGATAAAAAATCCTTAAAATGATATATCAAAATGGTCGTATTTGACATTTTGAAGTTGAACTGGGTTTGAGGTACCCTGTATAGTTTTTCTCCAAAAAAGGTAAAAGTTTGAAACTAAACTAAAAAATATTAAGCACGTATTTTTTTTGTCAGAAAGTTAACCGGGTCATGTACAAAGGACACCCTGTATTTGTATAAGTTTGATAACACTATGTATTGGGTTGTCCGGAAAATAATGCAGGATTTTGGTATTAAACAAAAAAAAAGAAACTAGTTACTTTAAAGCAATGTTCTTTAATCAAAATAATTTCCCACACTCTCAATACATTTCTCCCAACGTGTTGGTAACTTATTAATTCCGTCTGAGTAGAATTCAGAATTTTTAGAATTGATAAAGTCAATAAATGCATTTTCCAGTNACAAATGAGTAATCCTGTAAACGTAAACAGAATATTTTATATAGATTTTTTTTAATGAAAACTTAAAATCCTGCATTATTTTCCGGACAACCCGATAATACCATAAATATGTAATGTTTTACATAGACATTTAATGATAAATTTACTAAAAATATTTTCTATTCTACTTGTATATTAGTATCAGAACTTTGTGGAAATGCAATCGCATATAATAAAATAAAAATACTTACTTAGTGTTTAGTGAATTTATTTTAAATTCATTGCAAACAATTATAATAAATGATTGATTACATAAAAAAGGTAAGTATTCATAAAAAAAATTGTAATAATAGTTACTTAACATTTAAGATGTTAGTTTTTAGAATGATGAAGAAACTATTTAATACTCCAGCATATATTTTTTTGATACAACAAGACATTTCACAATATTTTTCTACCTTTTGCTTTTCATGCTCAATAAATGCTATATAACTTATTAATTAATATTTATGCATATTATATTAATATTAATACAATATATTAAATCAATTTTAGTTGATTTATTACAAAATTTATAAATCACACTTATGATGTTCACAAGTTTTAACTAAAATTAGCCAGGTTTTATGTTTTAAAAAATGAATCATCCTTGTTAAAATTTAAAAAAAATCTTCCTAATTTCGGTCATTTTTTTAAAACGTCTGTTCCAATTGTTGCGATACGCGAAATATCTTAGACGAAGCATTAATGATTAAATTAAATTAAATTATTAAAAGATGTTCTCAGACAGAAGATCTCAGTAAGAAAACTTAATAAGCGCTCCACCACTTTTCAAATCCAACAATCCTCTGTCATTTAGCCCTTGATGAAAACCCACCGAGAAAGGGCCGAAAAGTATATTCAACAGCTTAACATGTTCATACTTTTTCGGACAGGTGCCCAAATATGTAGCCCTCTTGCAGCCCCATATTAGAGGGGGAAATTGCTTTTATTGGGTTGTCCGGAAAATAATGCAGGATTTTGGTATTAAACAAAAAAAAAGAAACTAGTTACTTTAAAGCAATGTTCTTTAATCAAACCGGTATCCACTCACCAAACTAACTATTGGGTTGTCCGGAAAATAATGCAGGATTTTGGTATTAAACAAAAAAAAAGAAACTAGTTGCTTTAAAGCAATGTTCNATACAAATGAGTAATCCTGTAAACGTAAACAGAATATTTTATATAGATTTTTTTTAATGAAAACTTAAAATCCTGCATTATTTTCCGGACAACCCAATATTTGACAGGAGCACATCGCACACCGGCTATCCTTCCACAAATCGGGCTATACTTGATCATTTGCATAAAATGGACTTTCCTCGGGTCGCACTTCTTCCGGTATTTTTAAATAACGACTATTTCAATTATTAGCGCGTATATAAATCGGAATCTGAACAGATCCTTGAATCGTCAATAATAAATGACATTATTAACAACATATTAACAGCATTTTCATTTATAGCAATAAGTGTAACTATTGAAAAATGTCCGAATCTTCACTGAAGAAATTAAAAAATCCGCCGAGCACTCGATCCCAAAACCAGGAGGAACACTGAAAGTAAGCTGCGAAAATACAATAACTTTGGGACTTAACAGGGAGGCCCCACTGGCAGAGATTTTGCACAAATTAAACTAATCAAGAGTAAAAGTAAAATGTAAGCAACACCAATATTAAGAAAAAAATTTTAATCGAGGAATCAAAAGACGTGACAGAGTATGATCAAACATAGGTGGGTGTGCTTCAGAATTGCCACATGACTTTGATCTCAAAGGCAAACACCCTATGATTGAGGCATAACATTTTTGGGCTGGATCAGCCAATGGTTATTTTTCTTTTCCGCCGTCGTCCAGTGTTCCTCTAAAAAATGCGTAACTCCTTCAAATTACGACCTTGGCTGATAGGATGACGGTTGAGATTGCTGTTTAGTTAATGGGTCGACCATTGAGGTTGCTGCTTGGTTCAATGGATGACAGTTGAGGATGCCGCTTGATTCATTGGTTGACAGTTGAGGTTACCGCTTGATTGATTGGTGGACTGTTGAGGTTGCTGCTTGATTGATTGGTGGACGGTTGAGGTTGCTGCTTGGTTGAATGGTTGACAGTTGAGGTTGCTGCTTGATTGATTGGTGGACGGTTGAGGTTGCTGCTTGATTCATTGGGTGACGGTTGAGATTGCTGCTTGGTTGATTGGTTGACAGTTGAGGTTGCTGCTTGATTGATTGGTGGACGGTTGAGGTTGCTGCTTGGTTCATTGGTTGACGGTTGAGGTTGTTGCTTGATTGATTGGTGGACGGTTGAGTTTGCAGCTTGGTTCATTAGTTGACGGTTGAGATTGCTGCTTGGTTGATTGGTTGACGGTTGAGGTTGTTGCTTCATTGATTGGTGGACGGTTGAGGTTGCTGCTTGGTTCATTGGTTGACGGTTGAGATTGCTGCTTGGTTGATTGGTTGACGGTTGAGATTGCTGCTTGGTTGATTGGTTGACAGTTGAGGTTGCTGCTTGGTTCATTGGTTGACAGTTGAGGTTGCCGCTTGGTTCATTGGTTGACAGTTGAGGTTACCGCTTGGTTGTTTGGTGGACGGTTCAGGTTGAGAGACTGAGAGATTACCGTGATTTTTACGGTGCACTTTATAGTAAGACAAATATTAAAGAGTGATCAACATTTGTCAAACTATTTCATGATTTCACTTTTTACACAATTTTTACCTTTTAATGCAAAAGATTGAGGTGTGCAGTAACAATTTTTATTTAATTCATGTCTATTGAATTGTTTTTCTTACTTGACATGCCGAATTGTTTGGCTGTAAGCCGGAAAAGAAGTTTCGATTTTTATATTTGTAGTATGGAGTTGAGTAGCGTGTCGGGTCCCAAGTCAATATGATTTGTCAAAGAACAGACTTGCCGACATGCAAGGTTTGATTTGATTACGAGAGAACTGTTTCTTGGCATCGCCGAAAATCTACTTTTGATGTCAAACCGTCCCAAATTAGTTGGCTGTTTGGTGCAGACGAACAAAAAGTCGGATCCCACATGTGTGTGTATGTTAGAACGAAAATAAATTGTATAAAACAAGCTTCGAAATTAATACGAATGACCAAATAAATTAACATTAAATCATACAGTATCAAAGAGAAACCCCGATTAATTATAAAAAGATGGGGAGCACTAAATAATTTTTTTATTTGTGACAAATTGACTAGACTCAAAAAATATAGTACCAACCAAATTGCATTTGGAAAGTTATTGCGTCATTATCTTAGTGTATTTATTATAATAATATTAGATATCAAAGAGCAATTTTCAAAAATTGCAATTGAAAAGTTGATTTAGTTAACATAACCCAATAAAGTGGATTCTGAAACCGTAAAAGTTGTTATATTAATAACTAGAAGCCACATCGTGGATAATTTACTGTGCGATATTTTTTCCCTTTCTGGCAGTATGTGACGACTGAGTTTAATCATAATGTTGTCGTCAGTTGGACACACGGTTTTAGAAAATAAATGCCAAATTGTTTTAATTATTTGTAATTTTAAACTAATTACAAATAATTATAAGTAATTACTAATTACTTGAATTTTATACTGTTCTATTGTAATAAACAGCAGGTCGAATTATAAATTTCCTGCGTAAGGAAATAATTGTATAGACAAGTGAAAACCCCAAATAAAGATATGAAACACAGAATTGTCTATAACAATTTATAATATAACGTGTACTGCTCAGCGCTGGGTGGATTGACTTTCTCAATTGTTTTGAATATTAATTTGAGAAGCCAACTGTTGAAGGGCTTAAAGTTGACAAGTTAGGCGGAGGCAACAGTTGGTTGGATCGCAGTTGATTTCGTATCCTCGAAGAAATGTTCCATTTCAGAATGTGTCTGTCGCCCTTGCTGGTAATTGAAATTGTTAAAATTTCTGTTTTAAAGCCACCTTGTTTCATGGAATTTTCTTAAATTCGACTGGTCGTGTTTGATGTTTAACACAATTTTTTTAAATTAAAATTGGTTAGAAAAATCTAACAGTTGTAAAAATGTAGCATGATGAAATCGATATCGCCAATTTGACGTTTATATACGTTAAATTATATGGTGTTTTGTTTAAAATAATTTATTGGAATGAGTATAATTTATTAGCGTGAACGGAAGGGTTGCTTTATGTAGGAATTGCGAGTATTCTGGGGTGTGAATAAACTTCCAGACTTCTATGTTTGTGTACTATGAGTATACATATACATACATATATAGCATGTTTTATGTCTATACTCTAGTTGACAACCTGAGGTGCAAATGAGAGGCTAGCATTTTAGAATATTGACTTAATTTTCATACAAAAACAGAGAATGAGTAACAGATCGAGACCTCCCCCCATTTGAGAATTTTGTTTTATGTAGGAATAGCCTAATTAAATTTCTGGATGGTGTATTTGACAGATTTTAATTGTTCCATCAATTTACTTATCAATACTGATACGACACACTATATCCTGGTTTGCTTTTCAAAATCAGTCTCACCTTTGTATTTTTCAGTTTTATTTTATTTACTTACTATTGTGTACTTTGTATTGCTTTGTACTTGCCAGCTTTATTAATTACTATTTAAATATATTTTTACATTTACATATTGTTTTAATGATACCAACAACAACTCCCAGCAGACGGTTTGCTCCTTGCTTTCATATATTTTTACATTTTTTTAGAAGCCTTTTTGTCATTTCATGCATTGAAGTTATTTTTCATTGGTTATTCAGATATCGTGAGATGCGGTCGGGTATGATGTAGGTTTCAGAAAAACATTTTCTTTATCGTGCCAACGTTTCGATCTTTATTGAGATCATCTTCAGGGCTCAAAGTGTTTGTCTTCTGTGTAATTGTGCCANTAATAAAAGATCGAAACGTTGGCACGATAAAGAAAATGTTTTTCTGAAACCTACATCACACCCGACCGCATCTCACGATATCTGAATAACTATCGATTAACGGTCACTAATCTCTACACATTATTTTTCATTCATGAATTTTACCTCCTTTTTGCCATTTTTCAAAAATTCGAAAATGTTGGGTTGAGATGGGAAGTTGGTATCCGAGTGGAAGTCACGATAGCTCAAGTGGTAGAGCAGCGGCGTATTTGGCCGAAGGTCGTGGGTTCGAATCCCGCTCTTGACACTGACTTTTTTATCTCAACCAATACCTTACTTAAATGCTAATTATTTGAAAGATGTTACTTGGTCAATAGGACCACGAAAACTGGTGAATTTAGTAAAGTTTGTTAAAGGAGCCTGGAGTTACAGGAAAGTTACAATTTATAGTTATAGTTACACTAGTAAAGAATTTTTTATTTCACTTAGTATTATATTTAACAGGTCTTTTTTCCTAGGGTTTACTAATGAGATGCCCTGCACAAATAGTTAGAATTTAGTGTAAATAATAGTTTCATGCTCTTGTTTATTTAAAAAATTTAAAAAAAAACTTTTTACCCGTTTTTCGGCAGACAGTTGAATGAATGAATGAATATACATTTATTAAAAAAATACTTATACATTGTGTTACATAGCATTCATTAAGCAGGGGAAGTGGCGGGGCACTTTTACGTCCTATTTCAAAACTTTTTCCTATCAACGCACCTAGTCCTAGTTTGTTATTATTTTTTATTAAGGTTAATTATCAAATAGGATAACAATTAACAAATGAATTAACAAAAATGTGTTAACAAAATTATAAATAAATAAATGAGAATAACAAGAACAATGCTACACGGGTAATTGAATTATCACAAATTTTTTTATAGTATCACAGCTCTAGAGGAAACAATAAATATATCACAGATCCTAAATTTATGTATTGTGCTTAATCCTTCTATGTTTCCATGGAAAGTTTACATCATACACTCCTATATCCGTACAAATAGTGTTCTTGCTGGAGGAGAGACCCTTAAAAAAATTCCTGGACAGACGTTTTAATTCGGAATTAATATACTCCACTCCCGCTTTCTCATGGAGGAGGCCAATTCTGGTGTATCGAGTGAGGTTATAAACCTTAGAAATTTATTTTGGACCACTTGCAGTTTTTTGATGTCCGATTCGCACGTGTAACTCCATGCTGGGCAAGCATACAGCAGCAAAGGTTTAATAGCTATTTTATATATAATTAGTTTATTTTCACTCTTTCGGGCCATCAGCGGAAATAAGTTTTTTATTGCTGTTTTACCTTTCGTTACTATATTGTTTATATGCCGAGAGAAGTTAAGTTTTCGGTCCAGAGTTAAACCCAAGTACTTTACCCCTTCACGCCATTCTATTTTGTGTCCGTGAATGGACATGGTTTCCTTGAATATTGGGCGTGGTTTTGTGAAAAATCTGGCCTCAGTTTTCGGGACATTAATTCTGAGTTTCCAGCGGTGACAAAACCTGCAAATCCTGGTGATGCTGTCATTTAATCTTTTCACAATTGTCTTAGGCCACCAGGATGAACAACAGATAGCAATGTCATCCGCATAAAGCGCAATTTTGCAATTTCTCAGTGAGGGGAGTGGATTTATAAAATAGAGGAACAAGCATGGCCCTAGGATTGAACCTTGGGGAACTCCGGCGGCAATTGGGAAAGGTCTGGAAGTTTCATTGTTTAGGGAAACACGGAAACAACGGTTTTTTAAGTAGGCCATGACAACTGTTACAAGATATCCAGGGAAATTCATTTCAATGAGCCTGTATACTATACCGTCCTGCCAGACCGAATCAAAGGCCTTCTCCATGTCTTAGAGGACCATCCCAGTATGTTTTTTGTTGTTGAACATGTTGGTCACATAGCCATAGTGTGCTTTTATTAATTTTTATAACTTAACTTTTTTGCAGCCCATTTAGAATCCACATTTACTCATCATGAAAACATAAGCGATGCCTCTCACACACAAGATGTAATGGNTATCCAGCGTATCCAGTCCTTCCAATCAAAAGTCCTCAGACAAATCGTCAAAGCTCCTTTTTACGTCCCTAACCTCACTATCCATAAAAACCTCAACGTTCCTTTTGTCCACGAACTGATCCATTTCCGATTCCAAAAATTTCATACCAACCTATCGATCCATCCTAACCCTACCGCTAGAGCCCTCTCCACAAATTCCCAGCCCGAGAATCCACCACGTCGCTTAAAACGACGATGGCCCCGAGACCTCCTTGCCCCTTAATCTATTAAAATGAGTGCCAGCACTGGCTGGCTTCTCATGGCATGCGTCCTCAGGGTGCAGCGCTGGCATCAGTGTTAGTGCTGTGACCGAGCGGTGAACAATATACATTGTGATCACATTTGTATTATGTACAAGTATGTATAGGTTACAAATAAATAAATTAAAAAAAAAAACTTTTTTGTAACTCATATTATTGAATGAAGTTCATTTTCATTTCATTTTCGTATACGAATTAATAGGGGAGGGCCATCTTGTCGTTACAAAAAAGAAAATAAATTATAAAAAAATATGAAAAAAATAAAAAGTTATTATGGAACGAGTGTTTGAT